CCCTGCCTCAGGCTGGCCAACACTAGAACTTTCTGATGTCCTCCCCCTGGTAATCTGTTGTCTTCCTGGTACAATATTCTTGGCATATAAGCAACAGAGCTCTATCACCTCGTGACAGCGATAAAGAAGGTGAGGAGAGACTTCCCCAAGATCATCACACTAAGTAGACACATCCTTTAGAACTCCTTTGCCCTCTAGCCAATGTTGGGGACTCGAGGCTCCTCATATCAAAGGCAAGGGCAGAGGAGAGTCAGGTACCCAGCCAGGAGATGCCATGGTCCGTTGTCAGCTAATTCCTGCTGTTCTGTTTTCCAAGTCCCTTGACATGGCCAGAGATGTCCCCAAGCTATTGGAACTACAAACGGGAGGGGGCCTCTTGCAAAAGGAAGCGCCAAGGCTGGCACAGGGAAGTCCTTGGCTCTGTTCGGTTCTGCCTAACTTTCCATATAACCTTGAACAAGAGGTACCTTCCAGCCTTAGGACATTCAGTAGGGTCCAGACCCAAAGAGCCAGAAAAGCAGAGGATTCCCCCCCCCCAAGATCTACTGCCTCTCTCATCTCAGATTTACCCTGGAGGTTTGGCACAGGGAGTGGGTGAGCCACAGGAAGAAAACAGCAGCCTACAGATTCTTGTATCCCCAAGCTTTGCTCTCTAGCCAAGAAATTCCCAGAGAGAGAAAAAGCGTAGAAGTGAGAATGGCATGGTCACTCATGCCTGCAATCCAGTCCTCGGAAATCTGAGGAGGGCTGATGTGAGCTCGAAACTAGCCTGACATACTTAGTAAGTTCAAGGTGAGCATGAACCATGCAGTATGAAACTGTGTGTGTGTGTGTGTGTGTGTGTGTGTGTGTGTGTGTGTGATTGTGCATGCATGAGAGAGGGAGAGAGAGTATGTGTATTGGGAAACACTTTAAAATTATCCCAGTCAGCCAGGCATAATGGCTCACAGCTTTGGTCCCAGCAACTTGGGATGCAGAGAGGCAAGTAGATCTCTATGAGTTCAAGCCAACCTGGTCTACGTAGTGAGTGTGAGTTCTAAGACATCTAAAGCTACATTGTAAGACACTATCTTGAAAAAAAAAAAACTAATAATAATAAATTAAATTAAACCATCCCACTGAGGGAAGCCAAGACCAAAAGGGTCAGCAGAGTATTCAAAGTCACAAAGCAAGTCACAACTGGAAGAGGACCAGAGCCTCTGATTCCCAAGTCAGTGCACTTCTCGCTGTCTACAGGGCTTTCCAGAACAATGGCACAAAAGCCATCCTGGTATGAATGTGCGTCAGTTTGCCTCAGTGCCTCAGACTCCTGCACAAAAAAATCTAATCTCCTTCCCTGCCTGGACTGTTTCATCCTGGAAACTGGGAACTGTGGGAACCAAGGATGCCCAGGACCCAATCCCAGCATTCAGCACACCCGCAAGGCTTTCCCCAGGTAGCCCCTGTTGCCTCTACCTCGCCTCTTTCTTCATAGAAGGCAGGGACTCAGGCCAGAAAATCCCACCAAGTTGCACCCCTGCTAGCCCTGTCCCACCCTAGACCCCATGGTTGGGCTTCATCCTGAGTTGTAGGCTCCAGTCCAGCTTCCCTCTGAGAATCTGGATTTTTTTTTTCTTACCATAAAAGGGCAAGTGTGCCTTTCTCAGCCCTGCTGCCAGCCCTGCTGGGGGAAAGGCTGAGTTATTTTTAGATGGAGGGTTTACTCCTAACCCAAGATGGAGCTGTTTCTCTGCACACAGCCCCCTCCCCAGCTGCTGCCGTCTCCCTTCTCCTTACCCTTTACCCTTCTTTGCGGCCATCAGCATGAACCCCCCCCACCTCTATCCCCCCCCATGTCTCTTCTCTCTGTGCACCCCCCCACCCTCCTCTTCCCAGATCCTTTCACAGCGGCTCAGCTCCTCTTGCCTTCCCTCAGATCTCCTTTCTGGTTACTGAAGAAAGTGACACATCTGTGCCCCCACCCCCTCCTGAAACAGTATTTACAACATACATTCCAAACATCCGCCATCTGGCTTCTAGGAAGAGCCAAAAGCTATTTGGAGAAGGAAGTCGTGATTATTCCATCTTCAAAGCCAGAGAACTTAAGGCCCTCTTCTCCCTCCCCTCCACCTTCCTCCCAGAGGCCCCCTGTGTGGACCAATGACATCCTTCAGTCGACAGATGAGGTCGGGACCTTAGCTGGGTGTCCCTTGGATGGCTGACTTAACAAGCACTCCTGTTGCATCCCTTGCTTCACCCTCCCCTCTCTGTGCCTCCCTGTTCTTCTCTGAACGAGGCTATGAGACCAGGACAAACCAAGATTTCAGGTCCTGCCACAGCTTTGAGCCGAGCTATGAGGACGGGATGAGTTGGGAGAGTCCTGACACCATGTCCTCTCCCACCATGACCTGTACGTGTAGTTCCTGACACCCAGAGAGAAGACTGCAGTAAGCTGAGCTGCAGGGATTATCTGCAGGAGCTCTATCCCTACCTGCTAATCTTCTTGCCCTAAACAATGCAGAAGAAACCAGTGCCTATTATCTGGGAAGTATAACCATTCCTACTAAGCCCTACAACCCTGCATATTCCTCTTTTTCTTTTCTTTTTTTTTTTTTTTAAGATTTATTTATTTATTAGAGGGCACCAGATCTCGTTATAGGTGGTTATGGGCCATCATATGGTTGCTGGGAATTGAGATCAGGACCTGTGGAAGAGTAGCCAGTGCTCTTCACCTCTGAGCCATCTCTCTAGCTCCGAGATTCCTATTCTTTATAAAGTAGGCAAGACTGGCTGGGAAGGTGGCTCCATTGATAAAGTACTTGCCCGTGCAAGCATGATATGAGGACCTGAATTTGGGTAGAGGGGCTAGAGAGATGGCTCTGCACTTAATGCTGGCTGTTCTTGCAGAGGACCGAGGTTCAATTCCCAGTACACACATGGTGGCTTACAACAAGAACTCCAGTTCCCTGGGGATCCAACACATTCTTGTGGCCTATGAGGGCACTGCATTTACACACTGAGAGAGACATATTTAATAATAATAATAATTTTAAAATAGTAAAGAGTAATACAAGATACCTAATGGCAAGCTCTGTGCTTCATATTTCCTGGTACATGCTCATGCACGAACACTTGTGTATGAGCCTGTGCCTCCATGTGTGTGCCGGAATACACAAACATATACACAAGCCCAAAAGAGGCAGACAAAACAGCAGCAAGCTGTTTCTAATGGCAATGAGGGTTTTGGTTGTTAAACTAATACACAACAAACAAGAGAAAAATGCTGTAGCCACGCCTACAACAAGAAAGCCGAAGCTTCCAGTGTCTGGTGGCCTGGCCAGGGCCCAGATGATTTCTGTTCTTACTAAAAATGTTTTCTCTTGTCTCAGTATCCTTCCCTCCTAGAGAATCTGAGCTTCAGGGGATCGAGGACAGTGTGTGCTAGACTGCATGAGGCCAACGGGGACTCAGTAATGAATGGTGTGACTGTGACCTTAGGAGAGTGCTGTGAGCTCTGAGACCCTTGTTGCCTTCTTTTGTGAAATGGCACTAAGAAGGCTTCTAATGAGACTGGGGCAAACATTCGTAGCAAAAGGGGAGGTGCATCAAGAGCTCCCGACCCTTCTCCCCCACCTTGCTTGAAGAAGCCAAGGGAGGCTGTGCAGAAAGCCATTCCTCTTCCCGGATTTTGCCCTCATTGGAAAGCTAAGCATCCAGGTGTTTCGGCTCTTCCTCTCACCCCAGGATCTGAGCTGTTGGAGGGAAGGCTCGGGCCTCTGGGGGAGCCAGGGGCCTTTTTTTCTTCCTTTTCTTCCCTTTCCCTGGGCTTCTGGTGTCCACCTCAAGCTGCATTCCCGAGGCCTGCTCAAGAGTTCCAGAACAGCATTCCCTGGGGAGCAAGCAGGGAGCGTGTGAGCTTGGTGAACTTTACAGGGTGACAAGGGGCTGAGGGCGCTGTGGGAACAGAAGCCAAGGGAAGCTGTGCAGGAGGGAACTCGAGGAGGGGCCAGGCAGCGGTGGTTCCTGCAGTCAGCCTCTGCATCTCTAGATGTCCCTCCTGCCCCTGCACTTACCATGCTAATGATAGGAACTGCCCCCATTATTCTTTGTTTATCATGTGCCTAGAACTGTGTTCGCTCTCTATTGCCTCGACTGTCAAAAACAAGGATGTGATGTCAAAAGCCAAGAGAAGACAAGGATTCTCAGGCCCAGATGGATGAGATTCCAGGCTAGGGATGAGATTCCAAAGCAGGCCCCACCTCTCCTTTCTTCTGTCCAGGCATACAGTGGCAACCAGGCCCTGGAGTCAGGAGCCATGGAACCTGTGTGTGGGAGGGAGCTGACAAATAGAAGCTAAGGTAGAAAGACTCTCCCAAAAGAACAGCTATGGCTTATTCCCTGCAAGACTGGTCCTGGCTTTGGCAATGACCTTGACCATGTGAGCTTGGCTTTATGGTCCTCCGAGCTCAGAGGATAACCAGCTGAGCCTAGCTCCTTGTCTGCCTTGGGTACTGGTCAGTAAATTACTCTGAGCAAACTACAAAGCCTCTTTCAACCCCTCCCACCTCAGCAGTAGAGGTAACACTCTGGAGTTATTTTGCAGGCTGAACGCCTCGTGAGTCTGGAAGGTGTCTTGGTCACTGAGTTAATCCCAAGTTATAGTCTTCTCCAGCACAGCCCATTGTGACACAAGAAGTGAGAACCACTGGCCACCAGCCCTTGCAGAACAAGAGCTTTCGCTGACACATCCAGCTGTCTTAGAAGGGGTGATGATCCCACCTGCTCTCAGAGCTTAGAGTTTTCTTGAGATCCCCCTTTGAAAACCCAGCAGGGATCATGACCATGTAGGGTCCAAGGGCCTGACAAACCTCGGCAAGTCAGCTCAAGGCTTCTGGGCTAGGAGTGGCCCAGTCTCTTTTCTCAGAGAGCAATTTCAGGCACAGGACCTTTGGGGGTTCAACACTCTGGTCAGAGGGTGGCCTAGCATACTTCTGACAAGCCGGATCTTTTGTTCCTTTCAGGCAAGAGTGATGGTGGGTAGAATTCCTCCCTGCACTGGAGAACAATGAGCCCCAGAGAGGAGTCTTTCTGAGAAGCAGAGAAGGGATGGTGATCTGCTCCCAGAACTGTAAGTCCTCCCTTCCATCACCCCCACATACACCCCAACTCTGATATCTCTAGGAATAACTTGGGACCCTCAGACAAGCTCTCCATCCTAATGCTCAGAATGACCAGGAAACCAGGCCTGGAGTCCTAAAGAGCAGAGCTTAGCCAACCAGCTGCCTTTCGGCAATCTTGAAGGCTGGGACGGAGGTGGAATAGGTAGAAGCAAAGAAGAGGGGACCCAACAGGCTTGAGACCCCTTCCCACTACATTGTCCGACCTTCCTTAGAGATGGAAGAGCTTTGTAGGAGCGGTACCCGGGGCTCTGGGCAAGGACTACACTATTGATAACAGCAGCTCCCAGAGGTAGAAGCCATCCTTCAGCCCTGCTGGGGTCTGAGCTGTCAGCGGCCTGCATTTGGTAGCACCTAGGAAAGAGCAATGGTAAAAGCCTCCATAAGACAGGTAGGGAAACTGAGATCCAGAAGGGAGGCGCTCACTCAGGATTGCAAGTCAGGCAGCGTAGAAGGGTCTGGCGCAGAGCTATCAGGGAAGGAATAAACAGAGGAAGAACCGGAGGTGAGTGAAGGGAAAGCCGGGAGGCACACAGGAAACACTATTCTGTGGGTGAATGACAAGGCTTATGTAACACAGTCCACCCGCTCACCCCTGTGTAGCCTTCACATGTGTGTGAACGTGCACCCCAACACAGCACGCACCTGGTCTTCACTGGTGAGCAAATGTGCTGCAGAGACTGGTGTAAACAAATTGGATTAGGAGTCTGCAGGCGCCTCCTCTGCAGGGGCCCTATGGCGGACATTAAGCAGGCCTGTAGAGTAGCCAGCTGCACTCTCTCTGGCATGGCGACAGTCGGCCCTGAGCCCCCAATCCCTCCCCCAATCCAGTCCCAGGAAGGAGCCTTGCAGACGATGCCAGGATGATGGATGGGGTGAGGGAGGTTCCAGGGCTGGCCTGAGAGCACACAGGATGTTAGTGCTTGTATGAGGCACATTTCTGAGCTGTTCCCAGCAGCCCACCCCTCTCCACCCCCCGGGCTCCCCTCCACAGCCTCTCCCACGGTCACTGCTGTGGGCCTGGGACTTGGGCCTAGCCTGAGGTTCGGCTCAGAGTCCAGGGCCCGGGCCCTGAGCACAACTGACCCTTCAGTCCCACAGCTGGATGGAGGGGGAACAGATTAGGAAGCGTCAGCACAAGGAGACACTGGAGGCCGCTTTAGGGGGCAGAAGGGACCCGTGAGCGGAGGGGGAAAGCCATGTTAAAGATGTTTGGTGCTTTCTCACTCGGTTCTTCAGCTGAGCCTCAGAAAAGGCTGCAGGGCTGGAATTGTAACCGGTACAGCTGTGACCACTGAGGCTCATTCATTCAGTGCCTCCTCACAGCCCCTCTCTGAGGCCCTAATTTGTACCAGGCCCCATGTCTTATGCTGAGGATGCCCTGTAAATATCTTATTGTCCCTGCCTAATGAAACTGCTCCCTTTAGGCTCTGTTGTGGAACATCAGGGCCTTCCTGGTTTTCCAGGGACACACCTCCAACACAATCAGCTTTCTACAAAGCATTTGTGATGACTAAATCTGCCCCTCCATGCGGCAACGAGGCAATCAACTTAAAACCTGATGCCAGATGCCAGGCCCTGACACCAGACAGCCTAAGTCCTACCTCATTTCCCGTTCAGTTGCAGAGTTGTTCTTAGCCTCTCTGGACCTGTTTTCTCTTCTGCAAAATGGAGAGGCAATTGGTCTCATCTCATAGGGCCGACTGAGGATTAAGTATTTTTTTCATTTTCTTATTTTTACGGGGAGAAACAAAGCCCTGTCTCCCCTCCCTTTTCCCCAGAATGAAAGGACTCTATGAGATGGCAGTTAAGTTTGGACCTGGCTACTCCCTTCAATGCAGTAGTCTCCCTTCCACCTGCTACACCAATCAGAGGATGAGACAGCCGCTCAGTTTCTATAGGTAATTCCTGGGATAGTGGCATATGTGTTAGGTCTTGCCTGCCCTCCGGGTAGCAGCTCAGGTGACCACCGGTGGCCCTCAGTCCTCTGAGCAGTGACTGAGGTGGGGATTGACAGGCAGGGTTCCTAACTCGGAGCAGCCTTGCCATATAAGGGCAGGAGCCACTGAGCCTCCTGCCTGGGCCTGGCCAGAGACTATCCAGACAACCACTGTTTATTTTCTCCTTCAGCTTCCCCTCCTCTCACCCCTCCCAGGAGCTTCCCAACAGACAGAAGACAGAGATTCCCCAGGCTGGAGACATTTTCTCAAGACGTGGGGATAGGAGAAAAGGCCAGCCAGCCTCTAGCCACAGGCCTCCAAGCTGCAGAGAGCCAACGCCAACAGCACCAGGTAAGATCCGGGGTCTGCCTGGTTCAGCCACCTTTTTAACAGAATGGAGAACCAAGACCCAGAGATGAAAGGGCCCAGTGAGAAACATCTCTGTCGGCTGAAGATGGAGCTTAGATCCCCAAGCCTCTCTTATCTTGCAACGGCACTGCAGGGCGAAGGGCTTTTCTTGGAGAAAATGATGTAGGTAGGCTGCATAGCTCTTCTCAGTGAAGCCTCACTGGAGGGAGGGTCTGGACAAACTCTGCCTACCAGCCCAACACATGTACACGTGCGTGTTCCTGGGGCCAGAGAGAGAAGGTGCATCTTCCTGCCCCACTGCTCCTCCCCACCATCCTAGTCCCCACCCTACCCCTTCCAGGAGGCCTTTTGCGTTAGCCAGGGGGGGATGAGGGAAGGAGCCTCCCTGGCTGTAAGCTCTTGGCAGTCCTTTCGCAGGCTCTCCGGAGTTCTGCTGAGTCTGCCCCATGTCCTCCTCAGGTGCTTTCCTTCCTCCTCAGCCTTCTGTGCCCTGCCAGGAGGGCAGAGGTGGTGCTGGGTCTGCTGAATGAGCCAGCACTGCTATGAGACCCTGTCGCAAGCCCAGAGGACTAAGAAATCGAGCATGGAGGTTAAGGTGAGGGGCCAGGCTCGGCTGCTCTGAGTTAGGAAGCCCAGCATGGTGCCTTGTACCCCTACCCTGGGAAAATTGTATTTCTCTGGAGCCTTGGCAACCTTTGGGGATATGTGCAATTAAATGTTCACCAGTTTAATTAGTCTAGAATCAGGGACAGCACTAGATAGTCTTTATCCAAGGATGAGACAAGGAAGATGGGGCAAGGACCTTTCTTGGCTGAAGATCTACCTGTCAGGACTGTCTGGCCATTTACTTCTCCTTAAGAAAGATGGGCCACCTTCTGTCCAGTTCCTGTGTCACACCAAGATGTAAAATCTTGGCTGTGCTTTCCCTTTATCCCAGGCTGGGATAACAGCAGCTCTTCGTTCCCCCTTTGTGAATCTGTGTCTGCAAATCTTGAAGCCCCAACCCCACAACCCCCATTCCTGGTCCTCCATCCAAGGTGATTGGTTCCAGCCATACAAGCTGTCTGAAAGGTAGTACAGGCTCTGGCATGCTGGCCCAAACCTAGGCATCAGATGTCTTCTTTTTCACCTATGTCTGCAAATGAATTATAAAGTGTAAGGTGCATCTTTTTATGTACCTAAGCAGGAATACTTGTTATTCATGGAAAACTAACGCTATCCAGAATTTAAAACAATTATGTGAGAATGCAGCATTAGTACTGCACTGTCCCCTGCTTCTGTGGCTTGTCAGGCATTTGTGGCACATGCTTATAATCTCAGAATTCCAGAAGTAGAGGCAGGGGGATCAGGAGTTCCACACGATGAATGTGTTTGAGGCTAGCCTGACCTACACGTGTCTGTATTTCTAAAAAGAAAGATGGGGGGGCAGTGGAGAAGAAGGAAATAAGGGGGAGGGAGGACAAAGTAGCAGGGGACAACTCAAATGGTGTGGTCACCAGATGACTCCCAGCATTCATCCACTCTTTCTGCTGCCCCCCCCCAAAGCAAAGGCAGTATAGACAGAAGGGCTTTGGGCACAGTTGGACCCCCAGGGAAGGCTCTTAGCAACCCAGCTGTGCTGTGTCCAACCCTCCTAGCTACTTACTGAAATGTCCCTTGGCCAGGTTTAGTGCTACCTCTCCCAGGGTCCATGGGAGCTGCAGGGAATGACGTGGAGAGAATGGAGAGAACAAAATGTTCTGACTCCAATAGAGTCCTATGCTCAGACCTCCTAGTTAAAGGACTGAGGAAAGTTTCTGAGGATTCCAGACAGAAGGAAGTTGGTTATTGGCTGGAGATGCCCCCAGGCAGAAGTGCCCTGGCCTTAGCAACAAATCAGCGAGGTTTTTCCCACTGCTCCTGCACCCCATCCCCAACTTGGGGTTGCTGCGAGATTCCTGTTAAAAGGCCTAGGAGCTTCGGGGTTTCTAAAAATGGAGGTAGACGTGTGTGTGTGTGTGTGTGTGTGTGTGTGTGTGTGTGTGTGTGTTCTCTCCCAGCCCTGAGGAAAGGCTGCCTGTCCCCTTCAGCCAACCCTGAAAGTATGTGTCATCCAACATCGAGGAGGTCACCACAGCCACCATGAAGCAAAGACCTTCTGGGGACCCTGGGATCCTGGCAAAAGCAGGGTGAGTGGGTGGTTTGGGGTGGGCTCCAAAGAAGTAAGAGATGCTTCCTCACAGGCAGTCATTTGCCCAGAGTGCATACTGAGACAGGTGGGGGACAAGAGCGGGAATCACAAGAGCAGGCACATACCTAAATATACAAGGCCCTGGGTTCCATTCCCAGCAGTGAAGAAAAAAAAAAAAGTGCACACTTTAAATGGATGGGTCTATCTCAAGAAAGCTAACTTAAAAAGAAAAAGAAAAGAAAGGTGGAAATTTCAATCCCAGAGGGCCCCAGGGCAAGGCAAGAACAGGATGGGGGGGGGGGCAGGCACACTGCGCATGCTCACACTCCTTCTCCTGCCCAGGAAGAAAGCCGCAGCCTGAGCGCTCTCGGAGCGCCTGTCTCCCAGCCTGAGGTGCAGTGCTGCATCTCTGGTCAGTTGGGAGTCTGAGATGAAGCACTGTAGCTCAGGAAGGGAGAAGTTGTTCTGCAGCCGTCACCGAGATGTGGTAAGTGTCAGTGAGGGGTAAGCAGGCTCCGTAGGTTGTCCTTAGACTCTGAAGCAGCTTGTGGCGATGTTCCTGGGCTCAAGCTGTACCGGGCCCGATCACTCTTGTGCCATGTGTAACAGTAAGTGCTGGCCCATTCAGTAGCGGCCAGCACCAACATCCTGCCCCCACTTCCTCTTCCTGAGCCCAGAGAGGACACAGCTAACAAACGGAGGCAGCTACCCATTCTGGGAGGGTTCCAACACACCCCAGAACCCTTTCAACGTTGCATACTGAATAGGCACTGTAAATGATTCTGGACTGAAACCCATTCATCTCTGTAGGTCAGACAGTCCTAACAACTCTTAGTCCAGGGAGGTAGTGGCCCAAGGTCCTGGCAGCCCAACACACTGTAGATGACACTGTCATGTTGCAACATCAAAACATCACACATCCCTGTTAGGCTTGGACTCACAATCTTTGCTCAGAGCCTCTCACTTTGGCTCTGTGCTCTTGCCTAAACTGGTCCAGGCATCTCACAAATGTCTGCTTCAGAGAGGTGACGGGCACTGGAATATCGATATTTAACCTCCCAAGCCCAGTCAGAGGAAGGGCTAAGTCTCCGTTAACTGGCTGGCCTTAGGTCACCTATGGGTAATGCTGAGCTGGGGTTGTGTCTTCATCTGTTTGCCTTCAACTCTACCTTCGTACCCACTGTTGAGTCTATGGAACCTGGAGTCAGAGAGTAGGAAAACAGAACAAACCCTACTCTGGTCATGTCCATCATTCGGCTCTAGTAACAGAGGCAGGTCCACATACTTCTAAGAATCCCGTGGCCTCCCTCGCTTTCTTCATCCTGACCCTTCACCCACCCAGTGGGTCCTGTTTGATACCGCTTTACAATTAAGGACAAGTGAGGCTCAGAATTTAAGTGACCTACTGGGGGGGGGGGGGCACAGGGAGAAAGTCTCTAGAGCCTTGGAACAGACTTCATAGTCATGGGCCAAAGTGCCAGAGTATGTGTGGTGACTGGGGCGTCAGGGGTGGGGGAGCTGGTCCCAGATGCTTTCTTATCAGTTCTGATCTACATCAGCCAGCTGTCCTTTGATCACAGGGAAGGTACTTTCCAAGTCACTCAAAGCTCTAGTCTCTCTTCTCAGAGCAAGAAGCTGCACCCTGGGAACTGGCTGCCAGAGCTAGGGCTGAAAGCAGAGAAAACTGCCAGTCCCTAGGGGCATGGCGAGTGCTGAAGGCATCTCTTTCCCACCTTGTCCTCACGGTCCAGTTTTCCCAGGAATCCCTTGGATGCTGAGATGGGGATTCCTGGAAATACTGTTCTTGAGGTCATGGCTTCACAGCTGGATCTGCCTCCTTCCCAGCGTGGCATTTCCTCCCCGGGATGAGGGGGGAGAAGGCACTGGAGGTAAGAGGCCTTGGGAGCTCTGACCTTTGCATTGCTTTTCTTTCCACTGTGTCCATATTTCACAACAGCCCCAGGAGGCTGGATGTGGGAACCTCAGAACTGCCTCACTCTTGAGAAACTTTGTCTTCAAGTCGCAGTGGTTAAACCAGAACTCCATGGGACAGCCTTTTCTCCTCTCTGACCCTCCGCATTCCTTCCCTGCAGGCCTTGTGGTGAGGAGGGGCCACAGGGCCATAGCCACATTATTAAGAAAGTAACACGCAAATGTATTTAAAAGTTTATTAAATCAGTTAGGTAAACTAACAACCATTAATCTGAGTTGGATATGGAGCACCGCCACAGTACAATGAGCTTTCAAGGTAGACAATACAAGATTTGGAGCGCCCCCTGGTGGTGCATCTGCCCACTGCAGGAACACTGTGCTCCCCATATACACAGCCTCCATTCTGTTTCTGCAAACTTCTACCAAAATTCTTTCTGTCCGATCACTTTTGAGCCACTGACATGCTTAAGCCTTATTCACCTCTTGCCAGAGATGCTTCTACGGCTTACAGTTGGCTTTTCCTTAGGCCTAAACCAGAGAAAGGTCACCTAGACAGCAAAAGGCAGAGCCAGGGTTGATTTCAAATTCAGTGGCCACTGGCATTCAGTGTCTGAGCCAAAAAAAAAAAAAAAAAAAAAAATGTAGGGCTGGGTGCTCCTCCCTTTAATCCCAGCAGAGCCAGAGGCAGGCAGATCTCCAAATTGGAGGCCAGTTTGCTCTACAGAGTGAGTTCTAGGACAGCCAGAGCTACATAGAGAGATGCAGTCTCAAAAACAAAAAACAATCTATAGCCAGGACATAGCTCAGCTGGTAGCGTGCTGGCCTGGAGTGCTTGAATCCCTAGGTTCCGTGCCTAACAGCTGCACAGCTCAGGTGTGACGGTAGATGTTGTAATCCCAGCACATGGCAGGTAAAGGCAGCAGGAACACAGGTAGGCAGTCATTGTGGCTAAATGGTGAGTTTGAGGCCAGTCTGGGCTTACATGAGACCCTCTCTTAAGGGTAGGTGAAGCAAAAAGTACCAACGTTTAACTACAATTAAAATTAAAGACTGCCTCTCTGGTTACATATTGGGATGCGGACTGGATGAAAGTCAAAATTGCTAATGAAATCCAGGTATAAAACAGAACTTGGGCTGGGGAGATGAGAGAGGTGGCTTATCAGGAAAGGCACTTGCCACCAAATCTGAAGGCCTGACTGCAGTCTCCAGTATCCACATAGTGGAAGGAGAAACTGACTCCTGAAAATTATCCTCTGGCCTCCACAGGCGTGGCCTGCTGTGTGCAGCAAACCTGTACACACACAATAAAAAAGAAATAAGCGTCAAGGGGAAGCTAGAACTCAGGCACTCGTAAAGCGCTGAGTTTGGATGCCCAGAGCCTGTGTAGAAAGCCAGGTGTGGTGGCACACTCAAAATCCTAGTGCTGGTGGGGAGAAAGACAGGAGGCCCCCTGGGGTTCTACAGCCAGCCGGTCTAGCCAGAGTTGATGAGC